AGCCGGGAGGCCCCGGAGGGGGCAGGGGAGAGGCTGCCGCCCGCTTCCACCTCCCCGCCGCCGGCCGTGCCGGGAAGGCCCTTTCCAGGGTTAGACACCCAGACACTCCTGCAGCCAGGGAGCTTCCTCCAGCCTCCGGGCTGCCGGTCCCGCGGGCCTAGAACCTCTCTCTCCCCGGTAATTGCTTTCCGTAATGTGTTTGCTCCAAACCAATTTCACGCCTCCGTGAGGACTCCGCCCTGCGCTGGAGGCGCGGACCTCCCCACCACCCACCCACCGCGTGTAACACGTGCTCACACAGACAGCACACATTGAACACAGCAGATACGCAGGGTTCGGGTCCCCGGACGCCACAGACATACACAAACCTGCTCGCGTGCACACTGGACTTTAAGGCTCCCGTGTGCAATCCTCATGCCCAACCAGTGCACTCAGGTACGTACCGAGCAGCGCAGCGCCCCTGGCGCGCCGGACCCTGGACGGCTGCCCGGATCCTCCTCCGTTGCCCTGGGGCACCTTCCGGACCGAAGCGAGGAGGCGCTCTCGCGGTGGCGCAGTTGCACTCTGCTGCCACCAGAGGGTACTCGCGGACAGGGCCCGGCGCTGCCCACCCGCAGTGGACTCCCGTCCCTGAGTGAGGCGGCAGTATCTGTTGGCTCTAACTTTTTGTTTGTTTATTTTGTTAATCCTCATCAGAGGATATTTTTCCATTGATTTTTAGAGAGAGTGGAAGGGTCCAGGCAGCATGGCTCAGTGGTTGAGCATCTACCCAGGAACTAGGAGGTCACAGTTCGATTCCCGGTCAGGGCACATGCCTGGGTTGTGGGCTCCATCCCCAGTGTGGGGCCGGCAGGAGGAGTCAATCCATGATTCTCATCATTGATGTTTCTATCTCTCCCTCCCTCTCCCTTCTTCTCTGAAATCAATAAAAATATATTTTTTAAAAAGATAGAGAGTGGAAGGGAGGGGGAGTGACACACAGAGAGAGAAACATTGATGTGAGAGAGACACATCCATTGTTTGCCTCCTGCAAGTGCCCTGACCAGCCGGGATCAGGCCAGATCTAGCCTGCAACTGAGGTAGGTGTCCTCAACCAGAATGGAACCCCAGGGCAACCCTTCAGTCCGAGGGCTGAGGCTCTATGCACTGAGCCAAACCAGATAAGGGCTGTTGGCTTTGACTTTAGAATACTGTGTTCATTCTTAGCATCCTAGGTTCTGACCTCTAATCAATGAAGGGGAGGCCAGATGATGGGCTCTGGTATAGACTTGTACAAGTAGAGAGAGTAGATTCAAAATAAAATTCCTCTGCAGGAGCATTTCCCCGACAAATGGAATAGTGAGAGTGGGACAAGTCAGAGCACATGGACAATTAAAGAAGCACTTTTATTTTTTTTAAATATATTTTATTGATTTTTTTACAGAGAGGAAGGGAGAGGGATAGAGAGTTAGAAACATTGATGAGAGAGAAACATTGGTCAGCTGCCTCCTGCACACCCCCTACTGGGGATGTGCCCACAACCAAGGTACATGCCCTTGACCGGAATCGAACCTGGGACCCTTGAGTCTGCAGGCTCTATCCACTGAGCCAAACCGGTTAGGGCTAAAGAAGCACTTTTAGAATAACATTTTAAACAGTGAGAGGAGGTGCTTACCCTCAAGGGACCCGTTCCCGGATTCAGGGGAAAAACCAGTTTTCTCTTGGTAAAGATTTGACAGCAATGGCTTCTGTCCTTGGTACTGATAGGAGAGCCACTGATTTGGGGACTTCCGTTCTTTTCTTTCTTTCTTTCTTTCTTTCTTTTTCTTTCTTTCTTTCTTTCTTTTTTAGAATTAGTGCATATATTTTATTTTATTCTATTTATTTTTTCTTTCTTTTAGGGAGAGGGGGGACTTCCATTCTTGACTACACCGCTCTTCTTGGCCCACTTAGTGCAGGAACTCATTTTGAAAGGTATTTCCTCATATTCACTTGATCCTTGCACCAGCTCTTTGACTAATCCATTCTGTCCCACCAGAGAGTGATAGGCTTATTAAAGTGGTCTTTTACTGAAAGGACTGGTGGGAGGGAAATGTTTCAATATATATACCCTTTGAGCTTTTGGAACTTTGTGCTATCTGATTTTATTACCTATGCAAACATGAATGCAATTACTTTTAAAAATGGGTCTTCCTTCATGGTTTATTTTATTGGTGTTGTTACTAATAGAGCTTTAAGTTCAGTTTGTAGCCCAAAAGTTCCCTCGATAATTTATCCAGTCAATAAGCCTCTTATTGTGTATCCAATACTCTAAAGCCATCAAACCAAGTACTGACCTCTATCTCACTTTTTAAGTACAATACACTTTAAAGTCCAGTCTTCCATATTGGTACCATGAAGTACTTGGTTAATTTAACAAAGGGTTCTGACAAATATCTTTAGAAGAATGTGCAAGGATTATCCTTGTACTTTAGTAGTGAGTTGGGCTTCCCAGACCTAAGTTAAGCCACCTCTTTTTTTCTCCCTGGTAGCATCTTCCCACCACACTCATCTCAGAAGTTTAATGTAGAGCCCACAATCAGGACGGAATGGAAATCACACTCTTCTCCCTTTACCTCTCTGATGAACTGTCAATCAAGCATAACAAAAGAAAGCTCCTTTCTTGGGTCCCACCATCTTTTGTCCCACTCTGGTAACAGTGTCTTTCGGGGTGCTGATTTTTAATG